AGAGTGCATTTTTGAAGCTCAACCGGACTCCGTTTTGACCTCGGACCGTGTTTTGTATGCGTAGCACTCGAATGCGTGCAAGGGTGTATCCTTTTCGTATCCTTTTTGTATCTTGCAAACATTCGAAAACTACTTCAAATGCATTGCATCATTATGCATGCATACACGCATTGTCATGCGCACGCTGACTTGCATTGTTATGCACCTCCACGCGGTCTGGCGAGACCTTAAATACGCTTAGTCTAGGAGACCTTAAATCCTCTGAAGGTGCAAGTCCTTTGGTGTTTTTTGTGCCCGAACGACTTTTGGTAGGTTTCATCTTAGGCCGCATCGTCATGCACACCTTACATGCATTGTCATGCATGGTCCTTGTCACACATCATCATGCGTACCTCACACACATTTGTCATGCATTTCAAAGAGAACATGCGTTGTCGCGCATTTGAGTCCCCTTGCATCGTCATGCATATTCCAGTTGCATTGTCATGCATTTTCTCTATCATGCATTGTCATGCTTATCATACTTGCATTGTTATGCACCTCTAGCGGTCTGGCGAGACCTTAAATACGCTCTGTCTAGGAGACCTTAAATCCTCTGAAGGTACAAGTCCTTTGGAATTTGTCGTGCCCAAACGACTCTTGGCGAATTTTATCTTAGGTTGCATTGTCATGCATCCCTCACTCGCATTGTTATGCACACACCTGTAGACACCCCATTTTTGACCGTCCTCAAGAATTGGACGTCACCGTTTGAACACTCGGTGATTATCCATGTTTGTGTTCGTTTGGAGTTCCCGGAGGTCTCGGCTCGCGCGCCTTGCCTCAGGATCCCCGAACTCGACTGTTTAGTGTCTGGTTTTGCACCAAACACTTGCATCTTGCCCTTGAGAGGCAGGGTGGGGCTTGTAGACCATCCCCACCCACCACCAGCAGTGGCTAGAGGCCACCGGCTGGTTTTTGTCCCCACCGGCAATATAGTTTGCCAGCCGGCACTTTTTGTTGCCGGTCAGCACTATTTTGTGCCGGTCGGCACTCTTTTTGGCCAAGATGGCATTTTTGGCCGGCCGATTGCTGTTCATCTGCTTTTGTAAATATTTTTAGACAGCTGTCTTGCTTTTGCATCCCTCCATACACGTGTATGGAGGGATCTCCCTCTTGTAAAGCTTGTCTTGTAAAGCTTTACAAGAGATATAGAGAGAGGCTCTCTCTTGAGCAAAAAAAGGGACTTAGGTTAGAGAGTTTAGATATTTTGAGAGCAAAAATAGCCATTGTTGAGCTCTGGTTTTAGGGTTTGAGTTAGATACATTTTCTATCTCTCTTTCCCGCTCATTTTGTACACTAGGTGTTTTGTGTCTTACTATTGCACACAAACACCTAGTGTTTCACCTTCCTCTTG